CAGTTCGAATACTGCGTCGCCAAACTGTTATAACGGAAGAATCTGGACCAGAAAAATGCAAACTGAATTTTTGCATCATGGACTCCATCATAACCTCCATATTTGCATTGTCTATTTCGCATAAAAAGGTGGTTTTTACAGAAAGCAAGAGTGAGTGTTGTGCGGTATACGCAGTGAGCATAAGTAAATACCACGTAAATATCGCATTTAGAGTACACTGTCTGTTTTTTTTTTGTCGAAATCGACCGTGGCTTCAAGCAAATTTACATAGTCAAATGATTTTTTACCTGGTGAAGCCGAGAAAGAATCTCCATAACTGAACAACATTCTCCGTAAGGTACTCTCGAATACTCCCAAATTTGATGGTTTTCCTAAAAAAGTGTGGATTTACATTTTCTATGCGGCATGCAGAAAACTGTATGGTTCAGACTGTACTGTACTGTTCATACCTACTGTACAGTTTATATTGTGCCTTCTTTAACCTTCCAATAAGCTGAAGGAGGCTGTGACAGCGTTAGGCATTTTCTCCACATTAAACGTTTAAGTCACAGGTATGAATTTGTCTTAGGGCCGCCTGAGTGGAGGTATTGACAATAAAAAAAAACTACTTGCGAAATTTCAGTTGATCGATTTGCCGCCCGTCCAAACGCTTCCTTGATTTTGGTAACCGATAAAAGTTGTTCTTATAGTTTTCTTGGTTTGTAGGTTTCCCCTTCAGTCTTTTTGTCCCTTGCGCAACCCTTTCGTCTACATTTTTCTTCAGTAAAACAATTGCAAGCGATTTTAATTTCTCTCTTATGGCGCAATTATCACGCACCTATACGGCCCCTAGTGCGGCCCACCCTTTCATTCTCCTTTAACCACGAATTCTGTGAGATAACGTAGGCAGGGGGATTGCCATTGAGTGGCCCTACGATAAATCTCTACCAAATCACAGTCTTCGTTGTGTTCGCCTTTTGTCCCAGCTTTCAGCAGACTCACTAAATCACGCTCAACTTTTGCTCCCTCTTTAGTCAGGAGTTTCCAGTCTTCCCTGTGCAGACGATAGAGCATCGAGATACGGACCTTTGGTTCTGTCAGTTCAGTCCAGATGGGACCCACCTTGCCACCGGCGGCAAGGACGCCAATGTTGACGTCTGGCGTGTGGATGTTCAGACGCACACAATTCACTCCAGCCGCACTCTCTCAACAAGCAGCAGCTTCATTGGACATCTCTGCTGGTCGCCAAACTCAAAAAAGTGTGTACACTTTCTTGTTCAGCCATTCTAGTGGTTAACATTTTCCGTTTATACAGTGTGCCCTATCATTTCTCGAGCGTTTTTTGTTTTTGTAGTTTGTCTGTTTTTTTTGCAGTTTCGTCTGCTTTACTGAACGGAATTATAACAAGGCTTTCAGGATAAACCTTTCTGTCTCAGCGGAGCACCATCAACATCAGAGTGGA